GGGAGGAGGAGGAGAGGAGGAGGAGGAGGGAGGAGGAGGAGCGGGCGCAACGAGAACCAACGGGAGAGAGAGGTCCCACCGACCCTGCCCTGCCGCGGGCGCGCCTGCGGCCGCCCACGGAGCAGGGGTGCCGCTGGCCGCGAGCGCCGGGCCGACGGTCGCAGGTGCGGCAGAAGCTGAGAGCGAGAACGATATGACAACGAGGAGGACGGGTGAGGAGGAGGGTGAGGAGGAGGGGGAGGAGGAGGAGGAGGAGGGGGAGGAGGAGGAGGGGGAGGAGGAGGAGGAGGAGGAGGAGGAGGAAGAGGAGGGGGGAGGAGGAGGGAGGGAGGGAGGGAGGGAGGGAGGGAGGCAGGGAGGGAGGAGGTGGACCAGTGTGAACCCAAGAGTCATCAACGATGCTGGAATAAACCCTCCCTCCAAGCCCCCTCTTCATGGGCCCCTACAAGGGCTGATTCCCACTGAGGAAACTGCTTCGTTGGAAGACAACCGTTTGAAGACCCTGATGCATGCCAAAACATCGTTCTGGGGATTCCAACGCCACGGATCAACCTGACTGTTGCGTCTTGACGATCCTGAATCGTACCAGAATGCCGTTCTCGGGACTTCAACACCGCGAATCAACGTAGCTGTTGCGCCCTCATAATCCAGAATCCTTCCAAAACCATTTCTGGTACGCTGATCATGGGAATACGTGAAGCTCTTGCAAATTTTTACACGAATATGCGTGGCGCTAAGGCGAGAGCCACGTTTTGACAATGAACCGCCCTCAATACGTAAAGCTCTTGCAATGTTTTAAAAGAAATGTGCGAGGCGCTAAGGCATGAACCACATTTTGAAAACGGCCCTCCCTCAATCTGTGAAACTCTTGCAAAGTTTGAACACAAATGTGCGCGGCGCTGAGCCACTTTTGAAAACAACCGCCCTCCATTTGTGAAACTGTTGTCAAACTGTAAGCTTCAGAGTCATACATGGGCAAGAAGCCTCCGGGGAAACGCCCGGACCGCCCTAAAAACTGGCCTCGGGGTGCGACAGGGAGGAGACATCTATAAGGAAAAGCAATGGAGGAGGAGGAGGAGGAGGAGGAGGAGGAGGAGGAGGAGGAGGAGGAGAGGAGGAGGAAGGAGGAGGAGGAGGAGGAGGAGGAGGAGGGAGGAGGAGGAGGAGGGAGGAGGAGGGAGGGAGGAGGAGGGAGGGGGGAGGGAGGGATGGAGGGAATGCTGCCCAGCCCGCCCCCCCCCGCGGCGACCTCGCCCTCGCGCAGCGCCAGGCCGCGGCAGAGCGCCCGCGCCTCCTCCGCGGCCTGCGCGTGGCGCACCGCGGGCCCCGATCGGCGTGGGCGTGGCCGCGCGCAGCGGGGGGGCAAGGCCCCCGCCGCGCTGGGGGCTCCCAGGACAGACCGCTCGCGACGACGACGACGACGACGACGACGACGACGACGACGACGTAAACGACGTCGGCTCTCCCATGAACGACGACGACGACGATGACGCCACGAACCACGTCGTCGTCGTCAACGTCGACCCTCCCACGAAACCAGTGCGCTGATGCTGACAAATGCCAGCTTGCCCGCTGAGGGAAGTGGGGCTCCACCAGTCCAAGCACCAGCCACGGAGGAGGAGAAGAAGCAGAAGGACCAGGGGCAGCAGGGAGGGAAGGCGGAAGAGTAAGAGGGGGAAGGAGATAGTACGGGCCTCCCGAAGACCTCGAGATCTGCAGAAACCTCACTGCACGTCACCGCACGGTCTCTTGGGACCTTGGAGGCCTCCGGCGCCCGAGACGTGGTCGGAGACCGACGCAGGCCCCAGACCCGTGCGGCCACCCCGCACCCCCACCGACGCACCGCAGGGTGTGGTCACCGAACCGCTCGGGGAGCCCCGAACGTAGAGGCCTCCCACATGGCGCCGGAGCAGGTGGGGTCGGACGATCGCGCCGCATCCCAGACCCCCGACGTCATGCTGTCTCCCTGACGTCGACCCCCAACGATTTCGACCCATTCCCCGGGACCGGTTTTTCATCCCGAGTCATTTTTGGACGGTCCCGAGGCCCGGCAGAGGCCCCCAGAGGCCGAGAACGGCGAAAAACCTCCCGTCGTGACTTTCTCATTGCTCGACGGGGCCTGGGCTTCGAGCTGCATCGGCGATGCGCCGGCCACGCCGGGGATCGCGCCGCCTCGCCGCTGCCCGCGGCGGTGCGGCGCGAGTCTTATGTCGGGCCTGTCCCCCCTACAGGGGGATTCTCGACGAAAAATAAAAATATGCCAAAAATGGTTATAAAAAAAAATAGTCCACAAATAGTCTGGGGACTATTTGTTGAATACTTTTTGACCTTTTTGGGGCACTTTTTTTTTAACAAATTTTCGTCGAAAATCCCCCTGTAGGGGGACACGCCCGACATAACGCGAGTCACTGCGGCGCCCCGTCTGCCCTGGGCCTCCGGGCGCCGCGAGCGCTGCAGGCGCCGATGAGGGCGCCGAGGATCGAGAGAGGGCGCTACGAGCTCGGCGGGGCGCGGCCGGGGCCCCCCCCGCGCGGTGGAGGGCGCCGCGGGCGTCGCCGGGGTGCGTCATCGTGGCTCTTGGCGTGCGTCGGCTGCGGCGGCCTCGGGAGCTGCTGCCGCTCCGTGGGCGCCTGTTTTTTTTAGACTCTAGCAAGTTTACTTGCATGGGCGGGGGGGGGGGCCTGAACCTGAAGTAAGCCGCAAACGACTTTACGTGCTGAAATCACGCAAGTCGAAAGGCACTTGCACGCTCGTATTCGATAGAAGAGGGCGAGGGGTGGGGTGTGTTGGGGGGGGGGGGGGGGGGGCGAACGCCATGCAAGTAAACTTGCCCGAGTCCAAAGAAAAACAGGCTCTGGGCGCTCGAGGTCTCCGGGCGTTTCTTTTTGTTCGCAGGCTCTCGGGGGGCGCCCTCGTCGCCGCGGGCGGGACCCCCCGCCCGGGATCCCCAGGCAGTGCCAGGGGGGGTTGTTCTCCCCCCGGCAGCCCCCGAAGACGCCCAGAAACATCCAAAAACCTCCTCGACCCTCGAGATCCCCCCTCCTCGCTGATCTTCGATCTCCAGGAGGCGGTGGTGGCCCTTCTGGTGTGGTACCCCCCCCCTTGGCACTGCCCCACATCCATGCCAGAACTCGTGCCCAGGAGACACGGACGGACAGTACACACCCATGCTTACAGGGGGAGCTGACGCGCGCTTCGCGGTTTGAGGCTGCGCTGTAGGTGTGGGGTGCGGGTTGTCGGACACCGACAGGGGCCCCCGTTCGAGCGGGACCCCCACTCGGCAACACGCACCCGTGCCCCTTCCAGGCGACCAACCCGACTCATCTGGGGTTCGCGCAGTGAACTGCAGCCAGGGTACCATTGTGCCACGAGGACTCTTCTGGCAACGGCAGGGCCCAGGCCACAGGCAGAATCCCGATCTGGATCTGAGGAGCGACCGAAAACCGGGGCCCTTTTCCTGAGCCCAGCGCGGTCCCCGTTTCAGCGCGTGGACTGTGCACGTCGGTCAGAAGAAGCAGGTAAACACATGCAGCAGGAAGGCGCTGCAAGAAGGCTGGGCCTCCGCCCGCCCGCCCCCCGAAGAGGAGGGAAGAATCAGAAGGACCACCGCTCGACTCTTGGTGTATGACGGCGCCTAAACTAGATTGGCACCTGGGAATCCAAACATACCTACAGGGCAGTGTTTAATACATGGGATGTTTAAACATATGTATGATTTGTTACATGAGTAATTCATGAATCAATTGATGCATGAACTCATCGTTTTTTTCAGTGCTAGATCTCTGCATGTTTAATACATGATCTGCACGCGGAGCATGTATAAAAAACGGCACTGCATGACGGCGCCTAAAATAGATTGGCACCTGGGAATCCAAACGTACCTACTTTCAACGACCGACATGCGCGGTTGATGGGCAAGATCCCGCACCAGCCGCGCAACCAGGGCGACGGCGCAGATTTCCACGCGCCCCCATGCCCCCAATCCAATGTTGATTGGCTGCGGCCACGGGGTGCAGGATTTAGGCCAGTCGGCGGATCGACAAATCGCGCCACAGCCTGCCAATATTGAATTGGGGGCACGGGGGGCTAAACAAAAATTTAAAAAATACAGGATTTTGTCCATCAACCGTGTGAGTGCCAGCTGCCAGCTCACACATGAATAAATCCGGGAGGCGACCTCTCGAGGGGAGGCCCAGCGGCTGGCGTCCCGAGCCCCTGGCGCCGCGCACGGCGGCTGCGGGTGCGCCCGCGAGCACGGCTCGGTGGCAGCTCATGCCAGCCGCCCATGCCATCCTGTCGGCTCCTGCGGATCGACGCTGGCCGACGCTAAATCGACGCTCGTCGACGCTCAATCGGCGCTCACCGACGCCAAGTCGGATCAGGTCGGCGCTGCCTCATCCACTCCCAGGCGCTGCTCGACGCACATCGACGCTGAAGACGGCATCGCGAGGGCATGCCAGGCTCCCATGGTTTCCTGCCGAAGAGCACGGCGTTCGCCAGGGTGCGAGCTCCGTGCTCTGCCGCGGCAGCGCGCACGTGCGCATCGTGCGCGCGAGCGCGCCGCGTGCGCTGGCGCACGTGCAGCGCCGTGGGCACAGGCGGTCAGAGCTGCTGCTTGCAGGCCTCCAGGGGCACGGCACGTCCTTCCAAGGGGCCCCCGGGGGTCTGCGGCGGCCCCATCGGGAGATAAGAAGCGATCGTGGGGCACCCGCTGGCAGGCTGCTTTCCCATTTGATGTGCCTACTGTACGGTGCTTCTGACATCTCTCAAGCTGAACCCGTGAGTCTGGCTGCCTGTAGGGCTGTGTGCACACACACAGCCGCACATCCCAGACCCCCGACGCCACGATATGTTCACAATGTCGACCCCCAGAGGTCACGACCTATTCCCCAAGACCGGCCTTTCATCCTGAGCCGTGCTTTGACAATCCTGGGGCCTGGGAAAGGCCTTCACAGACCGAACATAAGGGGAAAATAATATGATTATCTCGTGATCTCTGTCACGGCGCGAGGGGGCGGGGGCATGGGATTGCCTCCGCCCGGAGCAGAACCAAGAACCCCCCTGAGCCCGTCGGGCCCCTCGAGCGCGCGCGCGCAGCGGGGGTGCGCTCTGCCGAGGAGCCCTGGCGGCGGCGCGCAGGCCGAGGCAGGGCGCAATCCGGCAACCGCTGCGCGCCCCTGACCGGGCCCGCTCGGGCTTGCCTGCGCTGCGGCGCCCACGGACGGCCCGGACCTGCTCGCATGGCCCCCGCGCCCGGCCTCGGGGCCGCCAACGGCACAAGGCAGGCGGAGACGCTGGCCGCGGGGAGCGGAGTCTGGACACCCGGGGGCCCCCTAGGGAACAAGTCAACACCTTCGGCGGCGAGCGAGGGGTGAAGTAAGAAGGAGAGGGCCTGCTCAGGAGGCTCGGAAGTCCCCCGGCCTTCTGAGAGGCTTTCTGAGCCTTCCCCGAAGACGCAGAGAACCTCTCAGAAGGCGCAGGGGCTTCTGAAAGGTCCCGCCGCCTGCTGCGAAGGCCCTCTCCTTCTCATTTCCCCCCCTCGCTCGCCGTTGAAAATCAGAACGTCGGATCTCTGGGGATGGGGAGGGCGCGAGGCGGGCGACCTTCTGGGAGAGCGGGGGAGCAGAGCTTCTCGTGGATGGCTGCCGAACGCTTCTCGGACGGGCCCCCTGGCCTCTCTACAGACTTCTCGGGCCGCCGTTCTTGTATTACTTGTTGTTTCGCCGATCGGCGCGGGCCCTCGCCCCCGCCCCCTCCCCCCCCCTCGTAGACCAGATGTTGACCGCTCTTGGCGGCTGCCTCCTCTGGCGACTGCTCAGGACCCCCCCCCGCCCCCCCAGGCCTGCTTGCGCGACTGGCAGAAGCAGATCGACCAAGCACCGGCCCAGACCCAAGCCCCTCCCCCCCCCACCCTTCGGTCAAATGCCGGAGACCAGGGCCAACAAACGCGCTTACAGGCATCTGGGCCTTGACTGCCCCGATGCGCACAACGCAACACGCAGCGTACTGATACGGAGCTCGACACGCAGGCTGAAAAGGCAGGTCTGACGCTATGCGCTCGCCAAAGCGCGGGCCAATACCCCGAGCCCACACGCAACGTACGGACTCGGACGACGTCTTGAGCTCGGTACCTGTCGCGTCTCAAGACGGGCGTGTCGAGGCAGCTAAGATCTGGGCCCTTCTGCGAGGGCCACACGCCTTCCCGGAAGAGCCCCCCCCCGTGCCCGTGCCCCTCCGCGTCCCCCCCCCAAACCCCCTGGGACGCTGGCCAGCCTGCGACTTTCTTTCGAGGGCGCGCGCGCGCGCCTCACAGCTCGTAGCATGACCCGCCGCACAGCCCCCCGGTGCGCAGGGGCACTGGGAGGGACAGGTCCTGCTCGCCGAGCTCCGCCTTCGCCTGGGAGTCCAGCCAGTCCCTCAGGGAGTTGAAGATGAGCCTGTTGTTGAAGACGACGCGGGGGAAGTCGGCGTCGCTCGGACGGTAGTCGCCCGTGATCCTGTGGGGAGCACACGACGACATAAACATCACTCCGACGGCAAGACCCTGGACGAGAGTCGTCCGAACTCATCTGGAGGTAATCCTCATCGTCGTCCTTGTGACGACGGAGGCTCCCTTCCTGTCTGGTATCTGCTGGTCCCTGCCGACACTTACAAGCTTCATCGGGGATGACCGCCTCGGATTGCAAAAGACGCTCGACAAAGGAACGAGGCTCACGCCCAAGACGTTCTCAAAATTCAGGCCCCCAGGTGTCGCCAAACCTGTGCTATACAAGGACTCCAGATGGCCGCCTCGGATTAATACAAGGTCGGGTATGTCCCCTTACATGGGGATTTTGGACAAAAAACTACATGTAACAAAAATGCCCCAAAATGGTCCAACAAAAATAAAGAAACCGTCCCCTGACTATTTTTGGACTGCTGTTAGATCTTCCTCCTGCAGAGGACAGGCCCCACATGAGATGGATAACATGAGCCGATGGGGCCCGCATGGAGGGGCTCCCGCTCGAGACCTCCCCTCGATTCACCTGCAGGCGAGCGCCGAAGACGTACTCCAGATTTCGTGATAAAGGGAGGGGGGTCTCATTTCGGGGGGGGGTCTCTTCCAGGCTATCTTGGAGGGCCTGGGGGGGTCTGGGGGCGATGTTTTGGAGGGTTCTCCCACGGGGGAGGTCTGAAATGGCTTGTCTTGGAGGGTCCAGACCCCCTCCCTTTTATTACGAAATCTGGAGCACTCTCCGATGGAGCAGCCGCGCGCGAGGCCCCCGCTCGAGACCTCCTCGAGACACACGCGGGCTTCCGGCACGCCGCTGGCCGCCTCTCGGAGTTCCGGCGTGCGGCGGGGGCCCCACGGGGAGGCGGCTCCCGCTCGGGACCTCCCCGCGAGCCGCTCACGGACGAGCGAGCGCCCGAGGTGTCCTCGCAGGTTGCTCCGGACCGCGCCTCCCGCTCGCAGCTCTCTCGGGATGCAAGCTCTCAGGTGTCGCCAAGCCTCCGGGGACCATTTCGTTCGCAGACGGGTGAGCGCCCGAGACATCCTCTCAGTTTGCTCAGGAGCGAGGCTCCCGCTCGAGACTTCCTCTGGATTCTGGCGCACAGGTGCCGCAATACCTGTGTTTTTACATTGCATTCCGATGACCGCCTCGAATTACCAACATGAGGCGGAGACTCCATTGCTCGCGATTCACGAACAAACGAGCGATCGCCCGAGACATCATCTCAATTTGCTCAGGAGCGAGGCTTCCGCTCGAGACGTCGTCGGGATTCAAGCTCCCAGGTGTCACCAAGCCTGCATTCCTACATGGCTTTCCGATGGCCGCCCCAGATTACTGACATGATCTGCCGGCCCCAGTAGGGGGCTCCCGCTGGAGCTTTCTTCGCAATTCACTCAACACTCAAAGTCGAGGCTCCCGCTCGAGACTTCCTCGGGATTCAGGCGCCGAGATGTCGCCGAACGTGTTTGTTTGAATAGTTTTCCGATGGCGGCCTCGGATTACCAACATGATCTGCGAGCCCCATAGGGAGGGGGTCCCTGCTCGAGACTTCCCCGCGATTCACTCACAGACGAGGCTCCCGCCCAAGACTTCAACGCGATTCAGGCGCCCAAGTGTCACCAAACCAATGTTGTTACAACGTTTCCGATGGCCGCCTGGAACTACAAACATGTTCTGCGAGCCCAAGAGGGAGGGTGCTCCCGCTTGAGAAGTCCTCGCAATCCTCTCAAAGAAGAGGCTCCCGCTCGAGACTTCCTTTGGACTCAGACTCCCAGGTGTTACCAAACCTGCTTTTTACGCGGTTTTCCCATGCCACCTCGGCTCACCAACATGATCTGCGGGCCACATAAGGATGGACTCCCCGCTGGAGCCTTCTTCGCAATTCACTTTGAAACGAGGCTCCCGCTCGCGATGATGATGAGGATGATGAGGATGATGATGATGTTGCTGATGATGATGCCTATTATGAGGATGCCGATGATGATGACGATGACGATGATGATGATGATGATGATGATGATGATGATGATGATGATGATGATGATGATGATGATGATGATGGCGATCACGAGTTTGCTAGTGATGATGATGATGATGATGATGATGATGGTGATGATGATGATGACGGTGATGATAATGGTGATGATGATGGTGGTGATGATATTAGTGTAGTAGCGTGATGCTGATAATGCTGATACTGATGCTGATGCTGCTGCTGATGATGATGATGGTGATGGTCATGATCTTGACCAAGAGCATGATGATGACGACGATGACGATGACGATGATGATGATGATGATGATGATGATGATGATGATGATGATGATGATGATGATGATGATGATGATGATGATGATGACGATTGAGATGCAGATCCGATGCTGGTGGCGATGGTGATGAACATGATGAAGAAGAGGAGAGGGTGTGGATGGTGTTCCTGCGCGGGGGGTGTCCAAAGAAAACAAGAACCCCACTTAGGATGTGCGGAATCAACTTCCAGTGGCCCAGCGTAGATCTCTTGGATCGGCGATGGAGCTTCCTTGCTGGAGCGCGGAGCGCGCCAGGGCCTGCGCCCGAGGCGCCGCCAGCGGGGCTCCGGCGCCGCATCCAGAGATCCGCGCCGAGCTCCAAAAGCGCACGTCTATCAGTGATTATTACTATCATCCTCCTCATCATCATCATCATCAGCATCATCATCATCATCACCACCACCATCATCATCATCACCATCACCATCACCATCATCATCATCATCATCATCATCATCATCATCATCATCATCGTCATTATTATTACTATCATTAATTATGCTTGTTATTCTGATTCATATTAGTATCAGTATTAGTATTACTAATAATATTAATAATATAATTGTTCGAGTCCTTGCCACCAGATTGGATGAATCGGCGGCAATCTGGTCGACGTGCTGCATCGTGACCTGGTCCACGCGCCCGCGAGCCGCGCGCTCGAGGTGCCCGATCGCCAGCAGCCACGTGCGCATCGCCGCGAGCACGTCCGGACAGCCCTCGCCCTTGCCCCCGTCGCAGGCCTTGAGGCCCTCGCTCTCTTCGAGGGAGGAAACACGGCTGTCACGCACAGCCGACTCGTCTCATGAGGCTGCGCGAGAAGGGCACGGTTGTCACGGCTGTCGCGCACAGCCAGCTCGTAGCATGAGGCTGCGCGAAATAAGGGTGCGGCGGTCCTCGGAGGCCCCTGTGGTGAACGTTTTTCGAGCGAGGCTGGCCAGCGAAAGTCGCCGAGCATGGGGCCGACGGGGCAAGGAGGCAAGGGCAACCCTTGAAGAAGTCGCTCATCCTTACTGTGCGGGTTGACTGCAACCGTTTGGAGGCTCGCACGGATCGGCGCCAGACCCCGCGCTGGGGGCGCCGCCAGGGGGCCCCGGCGCAGATCCCAGAAGCCCCCGCGGACCTCCTCCTCCTCCTCCTCCTCCTCCTCCTCCTCTTCCTCCTCCTCCTCCTCCTCCTCCTCCTCCTCCTCCTCCTCCGACAGCTGATCCTGTGCAGCGCTGCTTTCCCTCCCTCGATCTCTGCCACGGCGAGCGCAGCGTGGGCGTCCGGGAGCGGGGCCGGCGCGCAGGCCTTGGTGCCCGCGGACCACCCTTTGGCCCACTGCCGGCCGCCGTCCGACCTCCGCAGGAAGCACCGGAGCGCGCCGTCCTGCCGCCCGAAGGCCCAGTGCGTGCACTCCTCCGAAGGGGGCCCTGGGACACACAAAATAAAAACACACACAAATAACAGGATTCCCCTATATGTCCCCAGATTTTCTGGGCTTTTCTCTTCCCCCTCCCACCTCCCATGTTTTCCCATAGTTTCCGGGGAATCGACGATTAATTGTGTCTGTGTGTTTCTTTCCCTCCTGATCCTCGGCCTCGGCGCAGCGCCGCGCGCACACGCCCGGGTCCGCCGCCACGAACTTGTCGCTGTGGCTGCAGTTGTTCTGGAAGCAGCCGGTGGACCCGTGGCTCGTGACGTCGACGAACACGCCGTGCTCGCCTATTAGGGGAACAAAAAGTGGCATAAACATGAAAACTCGGAAGTCCGCGCGGGTTACTCGGATCGGCGCTGGACCCTCCTCCCGGGCGCGCGGAGCGCGCCAGGGGCGGCGCTGGAGGCGCCGCCGGGGGGTCCAGCGCCGAATCCGAGAAATCCGCGCGGACCTCTGAATTTTTATGTTTATGCCACTTTTTGTTCCCCTACCTAAGTGCCGGAGCACGATGCCGGTGACGATGCAAGCGGGGTACGCGTCGGGGCTGTCGGGCAGGCGCGGCACGGGCTCGTCGGATCTGCAGCACCTGTCGAAGGTGAAGTCGCCGTCCCAGCAGTTCGTGTTGCCCTCCGGACCGAGCTGCATGTTGCAGCAGTACTCGCGCGTCACCCCGGCGGTCCAGCAGCTGTCGTCACCACCCGCACAGATGCGTCGGCTACGCGAAAGGAGGAGGAAGCGGAGGAGGAGGAGCAGGAGGAGAAGGAGGAGGAGGAGGAACAGGAGGAGGAGGAGGAGGAGGAGGAGGAGGAGGAGGAGGAGGAGGAGGAGGAAGAAGAACAGGAGGAGAAGGACGAGGAGGATAAGGAGGAGGAGAAGGAGGAGGAGGAGTCGACATAGCCAGAGAGGAGGAGGAGGAGGAGGAGGAGGAGGAGGAGGAGGAGGAGGAGGAGGAGGAGGAGGAGGAGGAGGAGTGATCCTGTAGGCAAGGGTGCTCTTTGGTGCGCGGCTTCAAGGGGACGCGGTGGGCGTCCACGCCGAAGACCGCAAGCCGATTCTATCGCATCGCATTCGGCGGTCGGGAACCTCGAAGCCTCCCCAATGAGGTACAAGTAGATGGTGTCGGAAGCTCGCGGGGAATGCATCGGCGACGTCGGCGTGGAGGAGCTCGGGCACCACATCAAGCCGCATCGCCGATGCATCGTCGCTGCAGCGCGATCCGGCGACCTCAGCTTCTCGGGCCTCATCCGGGAGGCCTGGAGGGACTCCTATGGGCTCGCACGAAAGGCCGCTCTGGCGAAGGGTTACTGGACAAGCGCGTTCCACTACTCGTAGAGCGACTACTCGCAACTTGCCTCGATCCGCCGCGGGAGACCTACGATCTACCACGTCGAGGCAAGCCTGTGTCGTTTTGTTCGGGCGTTTGCGAGTAGGCGCTTTTGCGAGTAGCGGAACGCGCTCGGTTGAGCATCGTTCAACCGAGATCCATCCCCAGCGGCGTGGCCTGGGCCCCACTGGCCGATTTACCCCCCCTAGATGGGGATATCGGTCGTTACCTTCGGGTCTCGAGGGGTGTATCCTCAACCGGGGTGGTAATCTGGTGGGGGTCTCGAAGGGGATCGAGATGGGGATGGAGATCGGTTAAAAGATACGCGCTCGGTGAGGCACTCTTGATGGGCCTGTTTTCCACCACCACCACCACCATAAGTTGGAGGGGGAGGGGGTCCTCCTCCTCCTCCTCCTCCTCCTTCTCCTACTCCTCGTCCTCCTCCTCCTCCTCCTCCTCCTCCTCCTCCTCCTCCTCCTATTCGTCCTCCTCCTCCTCCTTTTCGTCCTCCTCCTCCTCCTCCTCGTCCTCCTCCTCCTTCCCCCCTCCAAATTATGGTGGTGGTGGTGGAAAGCAGGCCCATGAACTCCTACGCGTAGCCGAAGATGGCCAGGAGGAGCAGCGCTGGCCCGCGCAGGCGGCGCGACCACGGCATGGCGCGAGAGCCCCGGGGCCCCGCGCCCGTGCCTGCGCGCGCGCGGGCGCCCCCGCTCCTGGCGCCGCGGGCCGAGTGCTGCGGAGCCCGCTCGATCGGTGCTGCTGTCGGTCATGGTGCGCACTCGGGGAGCCTCCTGCGTTATGATGTTCCAGCCTGCTTCAGCCTTGATCGCCAAAAATAGCGTCGAGCACCAAGAGAGCTCCGAAACTCGAGGGCTTTCACGTGTCGGGTCCTGGCACACGCTCGTTCGACACTGCTTCAACATGGCTTCGTCTTTGCTTCGACATTTTCCCGGGTGCTCGAAATCATTGCTGGGATGTGGTCCGTAAGTGCGATGGGAGCAGCATAACTCCTGTGTCTCGTCGCACCAGCTCATCGGCGGCGAGCGAGGGGGGAAAAGTTAGAAGGAGGTCTTCTCGGAAGGCGGCGGGAGTTCTCAGGCGCCCTCGCGCCTTCTGAGAGGTGTTCTGCGTCTTCGGGGAAAGCTCAGGAAACTTCTCAGAAGGCCAGGGGGCGTCCGGGCCTTCTGAGAAGGCCTTCTCCTTCGCACTTCCCCCCGCGCTCGCCGCCGAACTATGCGTGTTGAATCCACGTTGAGTCCGTGTCGAACGCGTCGGGTCCGTGTCGAATCCACGTCGTATTCGCGTCGAGTCCGCACCAGACCCGCATCAGACATTTACAAGGAAAGACTGCACGCCTGCATGACACACAAGGTCCCCTGAAGATGCAACGCAATGTCGGGTCTGTTGGCTCGTGTTGTTCAGGAGCGCGCCCTCATCGCTTGAAGCGAACTTCCGCGCGCTGCGGGAAAGCAGGAGCGTGGACAGAAGAAGACAAAATGACCACCCTGATAAACACCCCTGCGAGCGAAGCTCTCTTTCATCAAGCACACCAATGGAAGGGATCAAACCGGGCAGGACTTTGCAGGGAAGCGAAGAGTCTCTGGTACTCGAAAGTGGCAACGGTTTCGCAGATCGCAGCCCCACCAGCAGCCCTCGAAAGTGGCGACATTTTCGCAGATCGCAGCCCCCAAGCGACGGCGAGGTCTACCTCCGGTCCGCGCGGTGCCCCACTCCGCTGGACCCACCAGCAGCCCTCGAAAGTGGCGACATTTTCGCAGATCGCAGCCCCCCCAGGGACGGCGAGGTCTACCTCAGGTCCGCGCGGTGCCTCACTCCGCTGGACCCATCAGCAGCCCTCGAAAGTGGCGACATTTTCGCAGATCGCAGCCCCCCAGCGACGGCGGGAGGGAGGAGGCGGGGGGAAGGACGGACGCGCGAGCAGTGCTGTATTCAAAACGAATACCCAACCAAGGAGGGTTGGGGAAGAAACGTCCCCCGACAATCGTTGCACGATTTCTGAATCTTCCTCCTGTAGAGGGACAGGCCCAACTTCGTTGTAGGATGACGGGGGCAGGAAGGGCGGCAGAGAGGCACAGGGGGGGAGAGCCACCGACCTGGAACCTGACCATCGCTCGGACGTCCATGTGCTGTGCAGTGCATTTTCCGCTGTCGCGCGTGCACTTTCTCCACGATGATCCAGGATGCTCCTCGATGGTCCCCGCCGAGCAAGACATGCAGAACGCCCGAGCGATGCCAAGGCATGGGCGATCCCTCGCCGCTAGATCGGCGACGGGCCCTCGACAGCCCACACCCGCAGTCTCCCGGGGGGGGGACTCCATCAGGCCCCCATCGTCGATTGGTAGGCGATTGGGGGTCGATGCGCCCCCCCCCCTGTGACGAACGAATAACCCTCTCCCATAGCCATACGGGGGGCGGAGGGGGCCTATGGGTGCGTGTTGTCGCATGGGGGTCCCCGCTCGAACGGGAACCTCCCCCGTGGCCTGACACCCTGCACCCATACCCATAGCCAGTCCCCCGCCCTCCGATCCCTTATGGGTACGGGTGTGTGTGTTGTTCGCTCCTCGCCATGAGTCTATCTCCCTAACGCTACCCATGGTGATGTTCGTGCCATGACTCGCGCCTCCGGCGTCCCCACGGGACGGTCTAGAGTCTAAAGGCAGCCCCGGAGCGCTCTCGGCGAGACGCAGCCGCTGGAAGGTAGCCTCGGGCCGGAAAGCCGCCGCGTATCACGTCCGAAAACCTTCTAGGTCTCGAACAGAGGAACAAAAAACTGCATGAACATAAACGTTCGGAAGTCCGTGCAGACTTCTTGCATCTGCGCCCGACCCCTCTCTGGCGCGCCTCCGGCGCCAGGGGCGGTACCGGAGGCGCCGCCAGGAGGCTTCAGCGCAGATCCAAGAGATCCGCGCGGACCGTCGACAGTTTATGTTTTCATGCCGCTTGTTCTCTCCTTCGACCGGAAGCCCGCACCGCCCCCTCATCGCTCCCAGGCCCCCCGGCCACGGCGGCAGAGGCGGCCAGGGCGGAGAAACAAAGAACGGCGGGGACCCGGCGCCTACACGCACAGCAGGTTCGCGCGGCGTCGGCGCGCGCAGAGGCTCCCGACACCGCGACGATCGTTCAACCTTGGAGCGATCGCGGCCCCGATCGTTCAAGGTCAGATTCTGTCGGGCCCAGTGGCGTTGCAGTGTCCTTCTGTGCTTCCGCGTCCCAGAACTCGTAGGATGCACGCCTTCGCCGGCGTCGCCGACGCGCCATCGCCGCATGAACCTGCCGTAAGGAATGGCCCTGGGCAAAAGAGTGACCCTTGGTGCGCGGTTTCGGGGGCCACGCGGGGGTCAGAGCCGCGCGCAGGCAGGCCACGGCTGGGCGGGGGGACCCCTGTGGGCCCGCACCAGTGGCCGCTCGAGCGAAGGGCCACTCTGAATGACGCCTGGCCGGACCCGGACCTCCGACGGTGTGACCTTTGCCTCCGGCCGCTGTTTGGCGACGTCGCCCCCCTCGGAGGCCATCGCCTGGCCCCGCGAGAAGCAGGAGTGGGCCCAAGACACGAAACCCGCCATCGGGGAGCCGCTCGACGCCCCGGGGCCGTGGATTTTGAACGAGTCCTGTCGGTGGGTGCCTGGGGACGACGACGACGGCGAGGCCACCACGAGAACAGTGCCGTGCGGTCGGGTTCAGGACGCGCCCTGGGAGTTCCGAACCTT